GGTGCGCAGCCACGGCTCTCCCCCTCCTGATCGTGAATATGACGTTGAAGATGCCCCTATACAATGCTCGAAATTCCACCTCAATTTCGGCTTAATAGTCTGCATGACATGCCATTTGTGTCATCATAACAATCAGCATAACATGTTGCTTGGCTCATTGCAATAAGTCTGTAAAGGGACGCTGGACCGGTTTCCAGCAGGTGCAACTCCCCACCAATGGAATGGAGCCATCCAACAAAGGGGCAGTGGAGGGGATGTCTGTTCGTATCAGCATGCCCCCCCTCCCGTCGCAAGGGTTTTTCTTCAAAAAAAAAAAAGAAAAAAAAAAAGGGCAAGGGGACCCCATTCCCCATTCCTGTTTCTGGTCATAACGGAGGCATTATCGGCTAACGTGAAGCACAATAAGGACCTCCCAAGATTAAGTTCGCAAACATACATGAGGATGCCGATTTGCTCCTTGTTTCCAGATGACCTTACCATTATATGGCTCTTCTTTGCACAAGAAATTGATAGGTCCGGGCTTGAACCATGTCTCCCAAAATAAATCAGAACATATGGCGTAAGACGATTTCACATATCGAGGTCGGAATGGGACTGGGTGTTTTCGTGTCCTACCTTACCATTATGGTGGAGGCCAATGTGTGGAACATGGAGGAAATTTGAGCACTTATGACATGTTCTTGCAGGTTCTGGGATATGGCTGTGGACAGAAAACTGTGGACTGGTGGTTGCACTGTGACGGCCAACCTCACGCCCAGCGCGACTTCCTGATCGGAGTGGAGTGTGGGCCTGGAAGTGCGAAAAGGGGTGTGCCAAGGATTTTTGGGAAAGTGGGGGAGTCTCAAGGATATGAATGCAATTGGGCGAAAAAGGGGCGCGTGCGCAGGGGACTCAAGGCCTGATGGGGCCGGGGCACTGTGGGCGACTGTTTAGGGGGAAATCCCTCCGCGGTGGAGGCGGTCCCGAAAAGTTAGGTCGTCGAGGGCCGCCACGTGGCGCAGGTCGCCGCGTGCTTGGGTTGGGCCTTCGGAATTCCGGAGTTCTCTGTTCGCCGCTACGTCGGCAATTCACACAAAACATGTTGGGCCAATAGGGGGCTATGGCCGGCCACGGAACAACACTGAGTTGATGATACAGGAGAAGAAGGCGGAAAGGAGGGAAACTGGTAGTGATCTCAACGAATCCCGGGTGGGTGAAGTAGTAGGTGTGGTCGAGCGAAGGGAAATCGGAGCACCGAGGATCGCTAGTGGTGTCACAGTGGAATTCCCGCGGACATAGCCGATTCTCCGTATGACAAGGGTATCGCGTCCTTATAAGCTCGTTTATTATAAGGGTGACATAGTCCGGGTCATAGGACGAGTCTGAGCCCCAAGATCGCGTCATGGTATCATTGCCGATGGGATAGCGCAGGTCGGGATATCGTCACTGCGCACGAGCACGTGTAGGATAGGCTGTCTCAGTGGCACCTCAACGTGCTCGTACGGGATGACGGTTCCGCCTCAAATCTTTTTGGGTGGGCGAATCGACGTACGGGAATGCGTGTAAGGGCGCGACTCGGGCCGCGTTTACACGTGTTCTCGCGTGGCGTTCGCGGAGCCAGACCTCGGATCGTTTAATTGTTTCGGATTATGCAAGATGCAACCATATCACAACCCTCATCGTGAGACAAGCAAAAACGAGAACAAAATCGCTATCGGGGCGAGATTCTTATCCCATCTACAGCTGCATCAGGTGTGGGCAAAGATTTGTTACAAACGAAAAGCAAGGACAGGGGTTCCTAGCAAACAGATATACAAGTAGGCGTATCGTCCACACATCCACACATTCATACATCCATACATTCGATAATCATACACATAGTGTAAGCAAAAGCGGACATCGCGAATACAAATGTGAGCAAAAATCCAAGCCCAGATTTCAGAAAGCCGAAACGAAAATAAGAACGGGCAACCCGCCCGGAGCCGTAATCAAAATGTATGTACACAAGTGAAGAGAGGGAGGAAGAGACAAAGAAACCGCAAATCCACATCCATCATCCTCAACTCTCTCTTCCTCTCTCTCTCTCTCCGATGCGGACAGTCCGTCGTCACACACCGACCCACGAAGTTGTCACCCTGCTTAGTCCTCCCACACCCGTCGGATTCGCCCATGCCCACAGTCCGTCGTGGCCCACGTCAATCCCGCTCGTTCGGCACCAGCCCGTCGGGTCGCCCAAATCCTACTCTACTCACCTCTTACTTCGCTCGTGTGCCGATCCTTCCTGATCGCGCAACCCCAAGCTTCCAACAACGGGTTAAGAGAGCTCACTAATCGCGCAGCTAAAATTTATAGCGTGCATGCATGCGCGAAGAACGCGGAATTACTAGGACTTAGAGTGAGGGTTAGAGAAAGGACGCTTGCGTTCTGCATGATAGGCCGCGACGTGGTGGACGTAACCCTTCTCCACGCATCGATCCGAGCATGCAGGCTGCGGCTTACAAAATTTCAGCAAAAGAAAGAAAGGGAGGGCGGGAGAGACGAAGTGCAAGAAGAAAGATACAGTTACAATGGCGCCCGCCCAAAATTACAGTTACACATACGATTAAGGGCGCCCACTAATCAGAGTACCGTTGCAGCCGCATGAAGAAGCGCGAAAACAAAAGGCGCCGCGCGATAGGAAAAATCCTAATTACGGAATTTCTAAATTCCTATCTAATGCGAAAAAGCAAAAGCACAAATTCCAGAAGGAAAGTCCAAAATTCCGAGAGCCATCGGGGGGGGGGGGGCTCGACAAAATTTGAAAAAAAAAGATTCAAAAGAAAATTCAAAAAGAACGAAGCAATTTCCCGCGCGATGTCCGCGCCCAAAATATCGAAAACCGAACCAAAAGAAACGACGTCAACATTTATTAATCTTGCGCGCGGTGGCGCGCCAGACATTCATCCGACCAACCATTCTACCAGCCGTCCCAGCACACCCAGCCCCGAAGAAGCGATGAAAAAGACGAAGAAGCAAGGGTATTGATGCAATTTTCCACCGATCCCGATTTCCCGTAATTGGCCCAATCTTCCCAACTTAGGACCCGTCGTTGCAACCGCGCAGAAACTCGCGCGTTACAGAAAGTGGTTCGTCACATATGTGACGCCCAGGGGGTTCCAATATTAGCAAGCTCCTGCTTGCTTGTTGTCACGTGTCGATTTCTCTAATCGATCGACACGCAAGGCACTTCACTTTATGCCACTTACCGTTCGATTGCGTGCGGACGTTATCCAACGTGGCAGTTCTGCTCTTCTACTAGTTCCTCAGATTGGGCTCTCGACGATCCAAGGACGGGATCTTTCTCGTGTCTTTGCTGCGACACGTGCCATCAACCATGCATCAGTGTAACAGGAGGGTAGATCCTAGACCTTAGACGTTCCCGGGGAATGGCAGCCTGATCATCGAGGGTGGAGGTGGCGGATGGTTCAGGGGGAGAGAGGGCATGAAGCGGTTCATGGCGGGAAAGGCGAAATTAGGAAGGGTAGCGTAGTGGAAGGAGCGATGGATGCGGGGGAAACGAGGGACCTCATGAATATGACGAAAGCAACAATATAATCGGGGTAGATGGTGGAGAGGGTCCGTCGCAGGGCGGCGCGAAAATCTTCATAATTTTTGCAGGCGGGAATAGTCCCTGACACAATACAATATACTTCTATGTGGTTATATTCCCGCCAGTCTGCGCTAAACAGGAGCACATGAAGGAGAAAGGAATCAACCACAGAGCAAGTAGTGACGTGTGGATAGACGGAGACTAGAAGGCGGGTAGTGTAGAGATGGTAGAAAAGGTGATGGGGGAACGGACACCATCCATCGGGGAACGGGGATCTAAGGGGGAGGCGGGTGAGCATGAGGTAGTCACGGGGTTGGCGAGAGAACGACTGAGGGCGAAGCACGAACGCCGAGATCTTGATGTAGACGAAGGGAGGATCGGGACGGGGAGCCGGAGGGAGATGGCGATTCACTTCTTCTTCTTCTTCGACTCCGTGATCCCTCTGCCGTGGTTCCATCGTCTTCCTCTTCTAGCGGCTGTGGATCACGCCACGGGTCTCCGATCGACGGATCGACAGAGGACACGTCTGTTGTGGTTCGCGGTTTCCTTGCGCTTCCGTTTCCTCCGCTCTCGTGCTCGTTTTTGCGCTGCGTCGCGCACTTCAGCCTCGAATCCTTCGCACTCCGATCCTGATAGCCCGCTTCCTTCTTCTTCTTCTGGTTCTACCCCCTCATCCTGCACATGCGGCTGGTTTGATTCGTTGGCTATCCCTGCCTCTCTATCCGGTACGTAGTCCGGATCGTCCCTTTCCTCACTCGATGGCTCTTCTTTTTCCTCTTCTTCGTCTGCTCCCCTTATCTCCTCGTCCTGCGCCACGTTTTGTCTCGCAATCGGGTCCCAAAACGTGAGATCGGTAACGTCGATCTCCAAGTAGAGCGCCTGGGAGGGATAGAGACAATTGTCCTCGTCGATCTCCGTGCACCTGGACCACACGAGGTGCGGCTCGAGCGTTTGAGACAGCACGTGGGTGCCAGGCTGCTTGTCACTATGCGACAGGATGTCCAGGGGCAGATCGTCCGCCAACTGAGTCAAAAACACCAGCAACTCGTCCGTGATCAAGGTGAGATTGCCCTCCTCCACCTTCCCGAACAGGAATCCCAGTAGGTCGCCCTGTTCCGCTGTCCTCCAGGCTTGGATGATCAGAAACTCCACGCTGTCTTCTGGGTGCTCCGGCCCTTCTCCGAATGGGGCCGCCTCTGACCAGCGAAACTCTATCTCTAGTAGGCAAAAAGCGAGCTCGATATAGTTCTCCCACCACGCGTCCCACTTCTCCTCACTCAATAGCGGCGCACTGTTCTCCTTAACACGGTAAGAGAGGGTGGGAGCCCGCGCAGACTGCCAAAGGGTGGGGATGCTGGAGGGGAGGCTGAAATAGGAGACGCGACGAAGACTCATTGGGGCGGCTCGAAGGGACGAAGCTCCGTAAGCACGATCGCGGGCGAACTTCGAGACGAGCGGAGTTGGAGGTCCGTGTCATGCGCCGGTACGATGGTATCTCCTCGTCGAGATAGAAAATCCGTCCACGCCGTCCTCACTTCCCCAGCCCAAGTGCGCAACGTCCGATAGATGTCGGAGTGATTCGCCAACGGAATCGTTGTGATATCCCCTGTAAAGACGACAACGACAGCGATATGGCTAATCACGGGAGGGGATAGTCGCCGAAAGGCCGAGATCTCGGCCAGAACGCGCGTAGTTGCTTCTTCTACGAATCGGAACTCCGCCGCCGCGTAGATCGCCGTTGTACTGAAGAAAGCCGCAAACCGGAGGAGATCCGGGCAGAGATGGGGCCGTTGCACTTGCCGTATGACACTGATTCACCCCCGCGGAGTAAGAAGTCGCGCGCCGATCACTCGCTCCGTCGCAACGCTCATGGCGATGGTGTCGGGGTGAGAGAGAGAGAACAGGAAGGAGACGGAGAGATAGGAGAGGGATAGTCATCGCCTTCCCTATCGGAGGAGGAGGAATCGGATGGAGGCGAAGATGGAGAAGGAGGAAGGGGACGGAGGTAGGATACGTGGCGGATGATTAGTCGAGCCGATCGGCTGCCGGAGACCTCAGGGGCGAGGCGCATGTGTCCACGCCGTTGGGGCCCCCAATTTGTACTGGGGCCGTGAACCCGCATTCCCATTTCGGGCCTCGTAGCTCCGGATCTGTCGGCCTTGGGCTAGTTCGGTCATTTTCTGTCGTTTTCGGGCTAGCCTAGGCAGTGACAGTTCCATTAGCTCTAGGTGTCGTTTGGCCTTGTCCCTAGCTGTGGCCCTAGTGGGACGTTGGTTCACTGTAGATTCGTCCGGGAGGCTTGGTATTGTAACGCAAGCGATGCTATTGGTCCTTAATTGGAAGGGGCTCAACCCCGTTGATTCGTGAGGCGTTCCTCGATGGACCGCCAGGATGTGATCGATGATGTCGGGCCAGGGCCTCGGATCCCGTGCCACGATATTTCGTCGCAATGCGGTCTTTATCACCCGGTTGGCGTTTTCGACCAGCCCATTGGATTGTGACATGTGGGTTGCGGTGTTCCGTATGGCGACGCCATGTATGACCAGACTCTTTAACACTTCTCCTCTGAATTCAGCCCCGTTGTCGGTCAGGATCTCTTCCGTATCCTGATGCATCCCAAGGAAACGGTTGACATATCGCGCGATTTCCGTGGCTTGCCGCGTGCGACAAGGATACGCTTCGATCCATTTCGAGAAATGGTCGACAAATACCAATAGGATTGAATATTCGCAACTATTAGAGCCAGGGGGCACCACTATGTCGGCAGTGTCCATGCTCACTCTTTGAAATGGCCGTTCAACAACCGTGGGTACTATCGATCTTGGCGGTTGAATCGGCACCTTATCAGCGGCGCAGACTTGACAGTTGGCGACAATGTACTTCACATCGTCGCGGATATTGGACCAATACCACTCATTTTTGTCGATAGCGGACTCCGTGATTCGTACGGCAAAATGGGCCGCAGTTTCCTCGTGGGCGGTTTTAACCCAGTCGTACCGCATGAACGGATGTGGCACTACCATCCAAATCCCACTGCCGTCCGTTTTCCGTTTTTCTAATCTACCCTCCATCCATCGATAATCCCGAGYCCTTTCGTTGGCCCTCCTCCGATCTTCCTTGGTGAAATCCTGGAGGGGGTTGCCTACTAGGGTGGCAATTAAGGCAATATCCGTCCATACCTCGGCCCTTCTAAACTTCCGGGTCTTTTCCAATCCTTCTGACATGGCATCCAAAAATCGAGTCTCGGTCGGAATTTTGTTGGTCCGGCACAAGGGGCACAACCACGGTTTACTATCGTTTCTGTATTGGATGCACGAGCCATGGGCTCGTGCGACAMACTGTCGACAATCTATCCAATCGACATACCCCTCCCCKTTAGRACACGTGRAGAYCGAGTATACGCGGGAGATGGCTTCGCAAAAATAGCAAAATTTGTCAGGCAGGGAGAGGAGAGACGAAGAGGAAGGGGGGGAGAGAGGGGTTGTGGGGTTACCTCCGTCACCCATCGCCACCGATTCGCTTCTTGCCACGTGGGAGAACTGCCACTTGTCCATACTTCGGCTCGTTAGTCAGGTCTGGCTCTTTCCACGGTGTAATTTCCTCGCCCTTTGTTACCTTGGCGGGTCGATGCAGACGTGTCAGCCCGTCCGCGTTGCCGTGTCGCTCTGTCTTTCGATGGACGATATCGAAGTCGTATTCTTGCAATCGCACCGCCCAACGGCCAATCATGCCCGTGTAGTTGGTGAGCTTCTTCAACGCAAGCAGAGGCTCGTGATCCGTTACGAGGCGAAACTTTTGTTCGTAGAGATACAGATGGAAGTGTTGGATTCCCCAAACTACCGCATAACACTCGCCTTGAGGTGCGGAGTCGTTTCTTCGTTCGTACGGTACGGTTCCAGACGCGTACTCGATGACGTGTTCGCGACCATCGTTCCCCTTCTGTGCTAAAATAGCAGAAATGACTTCTGGTTGCCAGTCCGTGATGAGAATGAACTGCTTCGAGGGGTCCGGCCGAATCAAAATAGGGGTTGTTGCCAGAGCGTCTTTGAGGGTTGCAAAGGCATGCTGACACTCCGCGTCCCAACTGAGAGGTTGGTCCCTCCGTAACAGGTTCGTTAGCGGTCGTGCAATCGCGGCAAAGCCCTTGATGAAGCGTCGGTAATACGACGCCAGTCCCAAGAAGGCTCGAACCTGCGTCAGTGACGTGGGAACCAGGGCTTCCTTCACCGCCGCAACTTTTCTCGAGTCCGGCCGCAATCCTCCACGTGTCACGACGTAGCCTAAGAACGAAATTTCCGAGAGGAAAATTTCGCTTTTCTCGAGCGCAATCTTGAACCCATCATCTCTTAGTGCGCCCAATGTCCATTCAATATGTTGCGCGTGCCCGTGATAAGTCTCCGAATAGACCAGGATGTCGTTCATGTACACGATCACGCAAAAGTTGATCATCCCTTGCGTCAGCCGTGTCTTGTTAACGAAGTTCTGGAACGTCATGTTCATCGCTCACTGAAACGTGGCAGGCGCATTGCAAATCCCCATCGGACACCGAACCCACTGCCACGTGCCCTCAAACAACACAAAGGCAGTTTTCGGTCGATCTTCTTCCCTTACCAGAATATGATGGAAACCATGCCGAATATCAAACTTGCTAAAGTAGTTAGCACATCCAATCGCATCCAGCAAATCATCAATCCTGGGGAGGGGATACACATCTTTGATCGTGATCTCATTCAACTTGCGATAATCAATGCAAATGCGAATCGCTTCATTTTTCTTCAGCACTAATACTACGGGAAACGACCAAGGTCCGGTAGCGGGTTCAATCCAACCACTGGCTTCGAACTCCCGAATTCGTTCGAGAGCCTTTTTGCGTTCAATCAAGGAATAGCGATAAGGTTTGCAATGAATTGGGGAGTGATTTCCTGTCTGAATTTCATGTTGGATTACTAACGACAACCCGATGTCAGTGTCTGACACACTAATTGCTCCTTGGTATTCCGTTAGAATATCCGCAATTACCCGGTGGATTTCATCCGACACATATTGCGGAACGTGTAGTTCGAAAAGTTGGTCCCAGATCCGAACTTCAATCTGTTTCGTATTCGCCTGTTTTGTCAAATCGGGTGGAGGCCGAGATGAATGAATGATCCGATCGCCAGGAGAACACCGTGGCCATCATCTGAGCATCTTCTTCTCGGATTGCCACGTGTCCTTCCGGGGTAATCCCATCACAAACATCCTGCCATGGCACTTCCTTAGATGCGATCTTTATCCCCAGTTCGTCTGTCTCTGCTTCGAAACGCCCAGGGGGTTCCAGAGAGCTTGCTTCCGCCCCCAAGCGCAACAATCTCACTTCTTTAGCCAATGTTAGTAAAGACTTAGGTAGTTCCGTAATGCCGCAAAAATATTTTTTGTCGTTGTACCTGGCGAGGAGAGGGGTGATCCCTTCGTACAGGGTTTGAGGGGGTTCCAAAGAGTCGACCATCCTCGAAATCTGCACGAGGGGCTCTCCCAAGATCATCGCCTTGGTCCTTCGAATTTTTTGGATGGTCAATTGCATCGTTCTTGCTATCGTTTTGGGCGGTGGATAACAAACACGTTGTCATGCCAATTTCAAGATCTCCGGATCATCCTCGTCACTGCTTTCCGCATCTTTGGTTGACAGTTGATGACATTCCTTATGCGGGTTCGTCCCACGAGATCATACGGAGAGTCCCTATCATCCTCGGCGAAACCCGAAGAACTGCTTTAATAGTAGTGCGAAGGGTCAATCGCATGGGCACAAAGTATGGCTTTCCTCCTGTATTTCGGAGGACGATCGCTCGTCGTTCGAAATCCAGGTTTGCTCGTAACGCCACAAGAGCGGGAAGTCTGAAAAGAACGCCGTACGTATTAACATCTAGTACTACGACATCCCCAAGCGCGTGTACTTTTCCTAATCGGCAGGCGACGTTGGTCATTCTCCCCACAGTTTTAATCTTTTCCTCATCTGCCGAAACGAGCTGATCTTTCTCGGTGAGCATGATCAGATCGTTTTTCCTGCCTGCCCTTTCGACCACTCTCAGTGAAATAGCTAACACAGCTGCTCCCGAATTGCGTTGTAAGGAATTTCCCAAATTTCTAACTATAATGGGTTTAATCCGTAGGAAATGGTCGTCTTTCTGAATTAATCCTAACCGTATCGGATCCAGAGTGTTTGTTGGGTCTTCTTCCGACGCGGGGCCTTTGGCTTTTACGTTTGGTGCTCGGGCGAGAGCGAATCGCTCTCGATTCGCTTTACAGTGTTGTAACATTCGCTTATTGGCTTGCTCGGAGATCGAGAGTAGATGACCGATCGAAAGGGGAATCCGATGGTCCAATGCTCGAATGATGTTTAATACATCGATCTCCCCTGTGACGAAGGTGGGTCCTCCCGACTCCATTTCTCCTAAGGACGGTCGTCACTCCACCACCTCTTTCTGTTTTGGCGTTGGTCTGATTGTTCTGATCATTCCTAGCCCAGGATATCCCAGCGACACATACTGATCTAGCGGAATTAGCTCGGCGGCCTCTTCCGTGGTGGCCAGGGCACTTCCCCCACCCTCTACTTCTTCCATCAAGGCTCCGACTCGTCCAGGTCCGTTGGCGATGGGGGCCACAGCCATAGGTGCGACTCCGATCCGCTGTTGTGGGGGTCGGTGGGGGCAATCACGGGCTAGATGTCCGGGCTGATGACAGGCGTAGCAAACATTCGTTCGCAGCACCTCCGAGAACAGGGGCAGGGGCTAATCCTTGTTGCATCGGAGGGGCACGCACCGCAATAGGTCGCATGTTCCTCATCATGGCTTCCAGCCGAGCATTGTGCTCTCGCTGTTCCTTTTTGCTTTCTTGGATCAAACTAATAAAAGTTTTGGTTAGTTCGAAAATGGCCGCCGATTCGTTTGATCGTACAGGAGTCTGTACCGGCGGCGGGGGTAATGTCCTGACAAGCGGGGGCATCATAGGAGCAGAGATGCTTGGAGTCTCACTTAGGATTACTCGTTTGGGGCCTATCTGTTCCATGTAGGTGACAGGTCGTGATACAAACCCCATGTTTTCAAATTTGTTATGTAAGGCAGCTAGCTCTGCTCTTGCTCGAGCAAGCTCGGTCGAATCTCCGTCTCTAGGGTAATCTTCTCCTTCCAGAAAGTTCGTCGCGAACTTCCGTTCCATTTCTTCCGCAACAGCCATAATTTGTTGTAGCGTATGGGTGATGGGAGAAAACTGCTTTCGCAACTTAGCCCTTATTGTTCGACTGCGGAGTCCGTCAATGAACAGATCTCTCCCTACTTGCTCACCTCGCTCAGTTTTTACGAACATTCGGTAGAAACGGTTTCGATATTCCGCGACGGATTCGAGCGGTTTTTGCACTCGGTCCTTGATCATGTACAACGCTTGCTCAGGGTGGACATAATCAAATCGATTCATGAAATCTCGTTCGAAGGTCGGGAGGTCCACCCACACATAGATACTATACCAGTGATGAGCGTCTTCTCCCATTCGAGCTGAAATGTTGATCTGTGCTTCGTGATCACCGTACTGCTGTGCTCTAAGCGTGGCCAGCCATGCTCCTGCAAGATGGTGCGCCGGAACAAATAGATAGAGATTTGGTGGCGACATGGGAGCTCGTGCACGTGGGGCAGGTTGATTAGGTGGGTTAACATTTTGTTGCGGAACTGGATTTCGCACGTTGGCAGCCATATTGGTTGCTCGTCGGTTAGCCGATCTGCTTCTGGTGACAATAGGGTCGTGTCTATACGCGTTCCGAGGGCGAGGTCGCCCACGATTAGCCAGGTCGCTTGATTAACGTGGTATCAATCCTAAGACCCTAACCACGTGTCGAGCTCCGATACCAACCTCACGCCCAGTGCGACTTCCTGATCGGAGTGGAGTGTGGGCCTGGAAGTGCGAAAAGGGGTGTGCCAAGGATTTTTGGGAAAGTAGGGGAGTCTTAAGGATATGAATGCAATTGGGCGAAAAAAGGGCGTGTGCGCAGGGGACTCAAGGCCCGATGGGGCCGGGGCATTGTGGGCGACTATTTACGGGGAAATCCCTCTGCAGTGGAAGCGGTCCCGAAAAGTTAGGCCGTCGGGGGCCGCCACGTGGCGCAAGTCGCCTCGTGCTTGGGTTGGGCCTTCGGAATTCCGGAGTTCTCTGTTCGCCGCTACGTCGACAATTCACACAAAACGTGTTGGGCCAATAGGGGGCTATGGCCGGCCACGGAACAACACTGAGTTGATGATACGGGAGAAGAAGGCGGAAAGGAGGGAAACTGGTGGTGACCTCAACGAATCCGGGTGGGTGAAGTAGTAGGTGTGGTCGGGGGAAGGGAAATCGGAGCACCGAGGGTCTCTAGTGGTGGCACAGTGGAATTACCGCGGACATAGCCGATTCTCCATGTGTCAAGGGTATCGCGTTCTTATGAGCTCGTTTATTATAGGGGTGAAATAGTCTGGGTCATAGGACAAGTCTGAGCCCCAAGATCGCGTCATGGTATCATTGTCGATGGGATAGCGCAGGTCGGGATATCGTCATCGCGCATGAGCACGTGTAGGACAGGCCGTCTCAGTGGCGCCTCAGCGTGCTCGTACGGGATGACGGTTCCGCCTCAAATCTTTTTGGGTGGGCGAATCGACGTACGGGAATGCGTGTAAGGGCGCGACTCGGGCCGCGTT